ATGAAATGAGCATCACTGGCAGTTAGTGAGATGCCTATAATTTATAAAAAACCCTCATAAGTGTATTTTAATTATTTTTTTAGTTTTATTGCCGCTTTAAAAGGCGTTTTCCTAATTTTTCTTTTATTTTCCTGGTTCAAATCAAAAAGTAAAAAAATTGCATACTTTTAGGCATTTTAAATATTATTTGGTAATTTTTGCGGCATCTTTTGGGCTGAATTTTTAAGTCTTTGATTAAAATATAAAGTAAGGCATACTTTTGGGCGGGGATGAATGCAACTTCACTTTTACAGTTTGACAAGCTCTCTGAACTTCCGCCTAAAAGATGCCACGTTTTTAATAGAAATCCCCAAAAGTATGCTTTAATTTTTTAATTTTGCGTTTTTGGTCGAGTTAACGGATGAAATTCACTGCTTTCCAAACTGGGGTAACAGGCGAACAGAAACCAGCAGCAAGCAACTGAAAACTGGTATAAACTGTTATAAAAACTTTTGGGCAAAAATAATAATTGGAATAAACTGTTATATTTCATTTTCTGCATATATACCTATTTGTTGCCGAAAATAACAGCTTGATGGCAACATCAACCTTTTTACAACAACATCCCTACAGCAGCCCATCCAAATTTCCGAACATTTCCATGCAAATTGCCCGTTTCCCAAATTGGGGTAACAGGCGAACAGAAATCAGCAGCAAGCAACTGAAAACTGGTATAAACTGTTATAAAAAGTCCAAGTTTCGAACCATTGATTTTGGAGTAAGCGAAGACTCAAACCAGATGTGACCATATTGTAAATTTTTTGGCTAAAATGTTGCTTAAATGCACCTGGGCACACTGAAACTGACTTTGCATCAGTGATGCTCATCTCCATCAGTGATGCTCATCTAGCTATATTGCAATATTGGGAGGCTATAAAATCGGGCTTAATGGCAGTGATGCTCATCTGGCTATATTGCAATATTGGGAGGCTATAAAATCAGACTTTGCATCAGTGATGCTCATCTATTTATTTTGTCCCAATAAAGAAATATAGCTAGATGAGCATCACTGCCATTAAGCCTGATATATTGCCTCCCAATATTGCAAAATTGCTACATGAGCATCACTGATGCAAAGTCTGATTTTATAGCCTCCCAATATTGCGATATAGCCAGATGAGCATCACTGATGGAAGTGAGCATCACTGATGGAAGTGAGCATCACTGATGGAAGTGAGCATCACTGATGGAAGTGAGCATCACTGATGGAAGTGAGCATCACTGATGGAAGTGAGCAAAACTTTTCATTCAAATTGGCCGCTTTCCAAACTGAGGTAACAGGCGAACAGAAACCAGCAGCAAGCAACTGAAAACTGGTATAAACTGTTATAAAAACATTTGGGCAAAAATAATAATTGGTATAAACTGTTATATTTCATTTTATGCATTTATACCTATTTGTTGCCGACAACAACAGCTTATGGCAACAACAACCTTTTAACAACAACATCCCTAAAGCAGCCCATCCAAATTTCCGAACATTTCCATGCAAATTGCCCGTTTTCCAAATTGGGGTAACAGGCGAACAGAAACCAGCAGCAAGCGACTGTAAACTGGTATAAACTGTTATAAAATCGTTGGGCAACGAAAAACGTGCCAGTGTGACCATATTGTAAATTTTGTCCAAGTTTCAAACCATTTCGGAGCCGGCGAAAGTTAGCGCAGACTCAAACCTTTTGAATCCAAATTTAGAATTTATTTTATAACTGCACCTGGGCACACTGAAACTGATCGTCGTTAAATTCAAATTCAAATTTGGCAGTTAAATTCAAATTCAAATTTGGCAGTTAAAATATTTTAAAAAATTTTAAAAATTCTAAAAAAAATTTTAAAAATCTAAAAAAAAGTTAAAATATTAGAAAAAATTTTAAAAATTCAGGAAAAATTTTAAAAATTTAGAAAAAAAATTAAAAATTCAGAAAATTATGTTAAAAATTAAAAAAAAAATTAAATTTAAAAATTAAACCGCACAATCTCACATTGATTTCCATTTTTTTATTGATTCAAATTTGTGTGTACCATCAATTACATTTACACATTTAAAATGTAGTTATAAATATTCCAATACTTTACGCCTGCTGGGCTTCAGCTAGCCCGCAGCCAAGATCCGACCACTGCCATTCGCTTGAGCTCCGCCATCCCAGCTGCTTGCTCCTCCAGCTTCACCACTGCCGATCCGATGATCATCAATCAACAATTACAATGATGACTAGGATGAACTTGTGCTTCGCGGATCGCTGTGTCGTTGGTCCTTTTCCTTGGTTTTTTGCCGGGGTGGGTGGTACTGATGAGCGATGGCGATGGCAATGACGATGGAAAGTCGGTAATTGAAATGAGAAAAACAGAAAATTAAAAACTAAAAAAGCCATAACTCTGTCAAAAATGCCTTAATTTGCATTCGGAAAGCGGTGTTATGTTAGTTTCTATAAGGTTAACAAATCTGCATACTTAGTTAGAAATTGAAAATTTTATCAAATTTTGAGAATTTTAATGATGTAACCCCTTATAAAATTTTGAAAAAATTGATAAAAAATTTTTTTTTGCCGGACATGGCCAGAAAGATGCGCCTGTTAATGTTGATCAAGAATATATATGGTTAATGGGGTCGGAAATGACTCCTTCTATGCGTAATGAGCTTCGGACTGGAAATAAAATACCCTGCAGGGGTATAAGGATACTAGGACTTGTGTGGTTCACATTTTTATAGGTAAGTATTTTAGCAAAACTGAGTATGCAGTTTTTTTAAGTTTAGAAAGGGCAACTCAGAACAGCTTTCCAAATTGAATTTCATGCGTTTTTGGCCGAGTTATGAGCTGTTCTGAGTTGCTTTTTCTAAGCTTAACAAAACTGCTTACTTAAAAATTTTATGAAAATCGGACGACTATATCTTATAGCTGCCATAGAAGCGATCGGTAAATGTATACAATATGTAAAACTGGGAATGTAAAACTGTAAGTGTCAAACTGTAAACATAATAAGTATAGGTAAAATGAAATGAAACTCTGTTTTGTGTGTGTTTTCAGCATTATAATTTATAATATAAATATCAAAACCAATCTGCAAGGGTATACAAACTTCTGTGTGCCAATAACTAAATGCATACATCAAAATATTAATTTTTAACTGACATTTATTTGATTTCTGGCATCTTTGATTTATATAATGCCACAATTTTGTATTTACCAAATAAATTTAAATGTAACGCCGGATATAAATTTATTTATTAATCTGTTGGTATGTTTATCAATTGGCCTTATTGGTCATTTGATGGAAACTCTGCAGTTTGTAGCGTTTTCCTGGCAATAAAGAAAACTCATAATGATTGATTGGCTGGCCAACTTTAGCAAGGGCAAAACTACATTCTATAAATAAGCGAAACTGACGGAAAAGAAGCAATTGCAACCCGAATTCGACGTTCGAATTAATCGCTTCCCCTTTTCCAAAGAAAAGTTTATCAATTCGGGCAGCCCAACGGGAAAAAAATACATCCCACGCCAAGCGCGATATTAAAAAGTGCCCCAATTCATTTATGTGTACATATTTTTTTTGGGAGGGAACGACATCAATAACCGATGAGCTGCCATAAATCCAGGGGCACTCAGTTTATGTGGGTCCTCCTCATGTACGGCGACGGTAACTATAACAATTTCAGCAACCCCAGCAACCTGGTCACGCAACCCGCAAATAGTAAGCCGAAAGCCGAAAGCCTAAAGCCCACAGAAAAAAAAGGGAAAAGTTGTCAAGGAACCACTTTAATTTCCTTGATATATGCCTGATGCGATAAGTTCCACCTGACAATGCGAGCATATCTATTATTAAGATCTGGCACCCGCCAGAAGGAAAAGCCGTTCGCAATGAGCAGGAACACATGCCAATCGCCACATTGCCAGGATCCCGAGCACGGGGCTCCCTAAGCCGGTTCGGGTCATTAACATAAACAACTCTGCAGGCGTTGGCCACGTGTCGAGGATGCCGCAGGACAGGACCAGAGAAAAATAGTTACAACTATGGACAAGATATTAGAAGTAGTTTGAAAGATATAGTTACCATTCTATTTTAAAAAAATATAATATAATTTAAAGTTAAATAAATTATTAAATTCTCTAGATAGTTGATCTATATATCCACCAAACTCTATTCCTATTATCTTTAGCTCAACTGTAACCTATATACAAAAACGTACAAAAAAAAAGGGCAAAACTAGCCAAACCTCTTCGAGACAAAGGACTCGTGCCCAAAAAGGAGCTGCGAAAAGATGCTGGAGAACTGTCAGCCGGCGGTGCATAAATCATGGCCGACCTGCCAGGAACCGAAATAGAACCAAAAACAGGGGATCACGATGTCAGCAAATGGCAAAACTGTCATTTTCTAAAGAATTTAATTGACAGTGGAAAGTCATAAATTATATGGCATATCAAAATCGGGGCCGCACAGGAAGCGAACCCTCCGGCATTAGGACTAATTGTGTGGAGACTCCTGCCGAAAGCGAACGAAACAAAGCAGGTCCTTGGGCGGGGATGAAAGCCGGAGGAAAACACGTGTGTGCCTGGGCGTGCGTGAAAGCAAAAACATTCCTATTTGGTTTGCTAATAAATTAATGATATACTCGTAGCCCCCACAGCAGCAGCAGCAGCAGCAGGAGCAGCAGCAGGAGCAGCAGCAGGAGCAGCAGCAGGAGCAGCAGCAGGAGCATCAGCTCCGCCTTCGAAAATCTCGGCGCCCGCAACAATAAAGGACGATTCTGTGACACAAACACTTTGGCGACACACTCGCACGCGAAGGCAATTTATAGCATTTTGGCCATTTTCGCAGGGACATTAATACCAAGGACCAGCCGCCGTGTGACGAATCTCAGATGTGTGAGCGCGGTGTGTGCGGACAAGGCGTCACTCGGACTGGCCCCAAATAAAATGGCAGCAAAATCATTTATCTTTGGTCGACGATGGTGCCAGTGCTTAGCCAACACTGGCAGATGAAAACACTTGAGTGGATCATGGCCTAATCTGGCGGCAGAGAGCCGCTTGCTGAAAAAGTATTTAGGGATAGCAATTGATGTTGTCTGTTTAAGTTTAAAAGAGCGCTTTTGGAGCACATTAATTATAGTTAAACTTTTTTACTGATATTTTTCGAGTCAAGAAATTCTACATAATATTTTTTAAAAGTCCCAAATGAAAGGCAGATTTCTGTAATTCTTCAAACACATCACACTTTTACAACGCTGCCAAAATTATAATTTAATTTGTAATAGCGACATTTCATGTTCTAAATGCTTGTTTGCTTGGACCAAATTGAAGCTTATATCTGTAAACTAATATGCATCTGCCGAGTGTCCGGGAAGAGGATACGCGCGATGGCACCACGCGCCTTATCCAGGAGTACCTGGCTTCGCTGGAGAATGTCAAGCTGGACGAGACCGGCTGGTATCGTGGATTATCCCATACTCAAATGAAGGCGGCGCAATCGGTGTCCGATTCCCTGAGGGACGATCTGAACCAGAAGACAACCTCAACGATCACCAAGGTGTTGAAAGAACTGGGACTCAACCCAATGCCGGCGTGGGACACACTGCGTCTAGCCATGCAACTAAGCCAGGGCAGCGACCTGGCCTTCCTTTGGTTCCTCATGGAAATGTGCTACAAGTCACCGAATCACGGCAGCTCCTACAATGTCAACGAGCAGATCATCATGTCGTCCATCTTCTGGCTGGATCTTATGCCCACTCTCAAAGAGCTTGATCGTTGGCTTCCCTTGCCGCATGACTCTCAGGCGGAGCGGGATAGAGCCGATGCCATCAGACAGCGCAGGCGAAGGATGAAAAAAGAAAGGGAGGAGGAGCGCCAAAGAGAGCTGGCCAGAAGGTGCAAGCCACAAAGACCCCTGGCACCGTACTTTCAAGAACAAGGACCCGATCTGAACAAGAGGATGCGGAATACTCGCCGCCTGCTTTCCGCTCATCCGGGTCGTCCGGCCTACCTCTCCGAACTGCAGGACTTTCAAGCTTTCCGTTCCTCTCCCATGAGCTCCCGGTGGTTTGGGAACTACTCCTTAAGCAAGGCCAAACGTGTGGCCAGGTCCATTGTCAACGAGGAGATCAACAGCATCTTCGATTCCTTTCAGGCCGCTTCACTGCCTCCCGACGATGTTGAGTCCTTGTGTACCCATCATCAGCACATCCGGAAGATGGAAAAATCCCTAAGAAAAGAACTGGATCTGGTTAAGCAGAAAAAGTACGAGGAGCTGATCATGGCCAAAAATAGAGTGGAGCAGCGGAGGCGAAAGCTCGTTGTCCAGGAGCTGGAGGAAATGAGTGCCACCTACTTGAAGCGCTTCAGAGAATTGGCAGCCAGATCTAGACTGGCCACTACTCGAAGGCACCTCTTTAGTGGCGGCAATTATTTTGCCGAGGGATTTCCGTTTCCTATCCCGGAAACCTACAAATGTGATCAAATGGGGCAGGAGAGGTGTATGGGAAATTTGGAACCGGCTCCAATAACTCTGAATAGTAAAAGAAAAAGCATTCACAGGCGGCGTTCCAGCTCCAAAGGGCGTTCAAAAGGTGGAGCTGAACGCAAGTCCAGATCGCACAGCAGATCCAAATCCAAGTCGAGTTTCAAGTCGAGATCTAGGTCGAGATCCAGGTCAAGATCCAGGTCTAGATCCAGGTCCAGATCCAAGCCTAGAGAATTCCCAGCTGAGCCGCCACCTAAATTCAAACCTGATTTCAAGGACATAATGGTCAAGTTGTTAAAGGGCGACAGACCCATTGTACCCGACTGTCCAGATTTAAAGCTTGAGCCCCCAGAGTGCGCCCAGTGTCACATCTACGATCCCGATATCGATAAGGTCAAATCCAAGTCCCGGAATATGAAAGATCGTCGTCCCAGCAGCTTGATGCAGTTCCTCCACCTCTGCGGCAGTGCCAAGGATGTAAGGAGTGGTTTTGGTTCCAACTGGAATCAAAACCTCTCTTCTCATCCTGGACACAATCGCAAGTTGGTAGAAATGGGACCTCCGGGCAGCAGTACGGTGAAGTTTGACTATCGTGAGTTGTTTGGCTCGTTGCACCGGACGCGTTCGGACGTAGAGCAAATGCGGCTGAAAGAGGCCTTTGTCCGGGCCATCGACGATGATGTCCAGTATCTGAGTGCCACCCTGAGTGGCGAGGAAGAGGCTTCTATAGACGCACTGGTTGACAAGGCTGCAAAAAGGGTCTTCGCCGAGGATGTCAAGACCTTTCACGAGGAACTCAAGAGATTGCTAAGAAAAATGGCAAGAGAGAAAGACAAGCAAGGCAATCGGCGTCTGAACTTCGGCCAGGAGTTCTACGATTCCGACAACCTTCCCTTGATGCAGGAGATGCTGCGCCTGGGTCTGCAGCAAGTGGCCAAGGACAAGCGCTATGTCCTGCCCACTCTGCCCAATGTCCATGCGGCACCGTATCTCATCGAGTGGATCTGCCAGCGCTATGGAAAACGATACTCGCAACGGGAATGCGCTCAGGACTTTCACGAGAGCAAGGAAGTAATAGACAAAATGCTTGCTTTCATGCGGATGAACCTAGCTCGAATCCCACCCCTCGAGTCCGATGGCAGCCACAGGGATCCCGGCAAGCGGCGGCAGGTGGCTCAGTGCCTCAGGGTGCAGCATACGAGGCGCTTCGTGGACTCGCTCATGGAGGTGTGCCGTGTCTTCTACTTTGCTATGAGGCCCCAGTTATGCAGCCCGGCGATGAGGGCCACCTTTTACGCCTACATGCCTGCCCACTACAACGACCTGGGCTTCTCTATTCCCTCCAACGGCCTGTACACCTGACCACTTCTTGGCAATCCTCAACATAAATCACACTTTTCCCGGAAACAATTTTGTTTCATTTATTTTTTGGCTTGGCTTAGCTTAGCACGTTCAATTTGTATTGAATTTGGTTCCTGGAAGAGCTAATTCTGTTCTTATTTATCTTTTACAATAAGTAATAACCGAGAAATTGCCTCTTAGGAGAGAAAGTAAGGCTTACATTATTACATTGGTTTCTCAGGAGGTTTCTGGAAAATTCCGGATGTGTTCTGCATCTCCTTACCACCAGTAATACGACTGTTATGCATCGACGCATTTCCGGTTCCGCTTTTGGCCCTGCACTTGGCGAGAGCACAAACCTCAAGGGACTGGCAAACGAGCTCTTTGGGCGGCTCACCACATACATGTACATGTGTGGCTGAATTATTAAGGCCACATTTGCCTTTGCCGAATCGTGCAAAAGCCGAATGGCGTTATCCGTCCGGAAAACGGCGTAAAGTCAGCTTATTAAAATATTAATTGAAAGTGGAAGCGCCGATAACTGGCCAACAATGGCGTCGGCCGTCCGCCAGTTCGTCCATTTCCATATCCATTTCCCGGGCCGTGTTCATGTCCGTGTCCGCTTTAATGTTTTCATGTTTTCATGTGCCGCAGAAAGTAAACAGGACAGGAGGCTGCTTTATCGCCCTCATAATTACGGCGTAATGAAAGTGCCAGACACGGCCAAATAAACGGCGGCAGCATCCTTAGCTCTTTGGCTCACCTGAGCGTTTCAAACGCAAGCCAAGACACGCAGGACATACTGGAAGAGAAAAATGCGGGCACACCCTCGTAAATGCGGGCAGCCCCATAAAGCAGCAAATACAAAAATATCCGAATAACGCGTAAAAACGGTTGGGAAATGCTCTAACGACTCAGAGATACGCTTAGATATAGAAAAAAAAAATTAAATAAAATATTTTTAGGCAGCCTAATTCCAAGCTGAAGAGAATTTTAAATGTGAAATGCTTATTCATAGAATTATAATAAATATAGTAACCTAATTTATATAAATTTCAAAAGCCTACTATATTCTTCAGGACAGATTAAAGCTTATGCTAAGCATCACTAGCTCATCATACCTCTTTCGACTTTTACCAGTTGCCTTGGCCAGCTAGATTGCGCATACGCCCTGTTGGCCGGTGGCACACAAAAAGCAAAATTCTGCAGATGCCCCGTTGTTATTCCTACAGCGAAAGATATGCGAATGCTGCCTGCATTCATTGTTTTACGAGCCATAAACATTAACAATTAGGTCGGGGCAGCCGAGCCATTATGATTTTTACAACTTGCTTTAATTAGAAAAGCACATTAGCCAGGACTAGACAGCTCATCTTGGTTTTCTTTTCGGTTATGTCCGGATCATCTCAGTTGCAGTGCTCATTAATTCTGTTGCTGAAGGCGCAGAATATGTAGTATCCAACACCGGCGCCCAAAACGACGGCCATGCACAGCCACACGTTGAAGGTCATGAAGACGAGCATTAGCAGGAAGGAGATGAGCACTTGCAGGATGTGCAGAAAGGTCTGGATGATATGCAGCCGGGAGAACCAGCGCCGACGCCAAGGCACTTTTCTATCACCATCGGGAACCTGCGGCTCCTGTATGTGATGATGTCCCGGTCCTTGCGGCAAGTGGTGGTGGTGTTGTGCTGGAATCATCTGAGCGGGCGGTCCAGGCGGAGAGCCGATTGGTTCATTATGCTGATGAGGCTGGATGGCGGACGGGGGTGGACGGTATGCGTAGGCCGGGACCTGACCTACGTATGTAAAAGATGGGGAACCATTGAATGTAGGTAAAACAAATATCTAACCTTGCGCCTGCTGCTGCGGTGGCGACAGCCTATAAGAATACGACGCTGGCTTGTAGCCATAGTTCGGCTCCCTATAGCGTCGCCCCCGGTCATTTTGATCGCCGCCGGCATCCAATCTCTTGTCTCTGGTTTTCGCAATCAGCCACTCCCTATAGAATTTCAAGCCCTCATAGAGAACGGCCACTAGGAAAATCAGTAGGCAGGACAGACCCAAGGCCATCGCAGATTGGGTGCGCCAGAAATTAAACAGAATGGTCTCCGTATAGCCCGTATGAAAGGCCATCGCCATCATGTGACCGCCTCCTCCTTCTCCTCCTCCGTGGTCCCCATGGCTGTCAACCCCATGACCATGATGCGACATTGCCGGCGAACCATGACCTTCGTGACTGGAGACTACATCGCCGCCATGTGATCCATGCGATTCGTGATGTTGAAACTGTGCCTCAGGACTGGGAAGGACCCCCGAAGGTCCATCAAACATCGGTGCCAGTGACTATCTTCCTAAATTGTGTAAGCAATAAATTGACAGCTTTTTCAGCGATTTTCATATATCAAAAACTCGAAAATTATACTAATAGATTAAGTGTCAAATTGGCCATCATTTAAATCTCAAGTTCAGCCTGGATACAAATATAAACAAAAACTATGTTCACCAATTTCATCTGCCCGATTTTGGATTTTCAGTTCGTTAGATTGATTGACGCGTAAATGGATAGTCCGCAAATATATTCCGAATTTTTGGCTAAATTCCGCAATTTCACAATATAAAATACAACTGAGAAGCTCTCTCTGTCTCCATGTTTCCAGCAATTTTCTATATATTTTTAGGCGTGAGTTTGGGCAGCAGCCTAATGCCAATTCGGTTCGACCATTAACATAAATGACAGGCGGGCAGAACATGCCACGTGCTACAAAATCAATGCAGTTGTCCACTGTTTTGTTGTTCGCTTTTCTCCTTTTTTTGTGGCTGTTTCCCGGGACAAGCGAGCAAATTTGCTGGCGCTAATGGAATCCATTTTTCACCCGGCTCTCAGTCGGATGAGACGAGCTGCACAAAATCCTCCGGTCTCCGACCGTGCATATTAATAAAGATTTAAGCGTGGGCAACCCGCCAAATTAAGATCGTACACTGTGAGCACGGCTCGAGCACTGCCAATTGCTCACGGGCAGGCCATTAGATTGTGTAATACTAAATATTAATCATACGCCGTGTTAATTTATGGGCCAGGCGCTGATTGCCGAACAGGATTTTTTAGCCAGACGTGCTGCAATCTTTCGCGGCTTTTTAGGAGTGTACGAGTACGTGATGGAAAGCGTGGTGGCAGGCGGTGCTGGAAAATGAAAAGGGAAACGGGAAATGGCTGCGGAAACGGGGGAAAAACAAAATGAAGCCACTAGCTGTCGCTGGGAACGCCTCGCTGACCGCCCATTAATGCCTCTGCTTTCTGCAGGAGCCCATTAATCATTTCGAATGCTTGCAGCAGCCATCGCAGCATGGCCTCACTGTAGGTTTTCTTTTTTTTCATTTTGCAGGAACTCCCAGCTCTGCTTTTTTGGGCCACGAAAAAAACAAAAAGCCTCAACGATGCCAGCAACAATGTGAGCCCTGCATTAAATGCTTTGCTTTTCTATGGCTGCTCGAGCGTTTCCGCTTTCAGAAAAGCCGCACAGACCTTAATTGTCGAAACGGAAGAGAAGAGGAAAAATCAGAAAACTAAAACAGTAGGAATAGTAGTATACCCTTTAAGAAGACAAGAGTATTCGGATATTAATAAATATTTTTGAGCAGTAAAAAATTGTTGTATAAATTCCTAGACACGTTAAGTCAGCAGTTTGTTTAGAAAACATAACAAAATGCAATATATTCCCATTTCCAGAAAATATCATAACCATAGTTCTTGGGAATTTGTGAATAATCTTTTTCTCCGAACCAGCTTGTCATGTTGAACTGAATCTACGCTTGAAGCATTTCCTTGTATTTTCCAGCAACCGAAACGAGAGAAATCAGAAATCCGTTGGCCTTATCCAGTTTAGGGAAACGCCTGTCGACGTCTACCCTTTGCTTTGGCTGCACTCTCCATTGTTTGCAATCGCTGGCTGGTCGTGGAATGTAATTCCCTTTGATGGCCGACACGGCTTAAAGCTCCTTGAGAGGCCGTCTCCGTTCCATTCTTTATCAATTGTCTTGCGGAGCAAAGCGTTAATCATGCGGCATTTAACGAGACTAAGGCGGACTGCTCCCAGGAGACCGAGATTTCAATGGTCAAAGTTTCGCCTCAGTTTCGCCTTGGCTCCCAACCTCCTCTCAATAAAGCGACAGCAATGAATTCCGAGAAGGAATGAAAAATGTTTGCCAAATGTGTGTTAGTGTGCGGGTATCTGCGGGTTGGTGTGTGTTCTGTGTGTGTGTGGGTGTTGGGAAATCCGAAAAGAAAAGCGGTTCGCACGCAGTGAGAATTTCCCAAGCCGGCAACCCGGGCAGCCTTGCGTGTAATCGCGCTGCTAAGTCCATTTAATCAACTTAATTTTGTACAAATTCTCAGACATTCGGGCTCACTTTTTCCCATGCTTTCTTCCTTTTGGCCAAGTGACGCAAGCCCCGCAGGACGGCATTTAATAAGACATTTTCCACAATTATAACAATGCAGGAAGAACGAGAGGAAGAGTGCAGATTCCTATCGCATAATGTTGAAATGGAGTTGTTAGCGCTCAAAATAATTTACATAATTTGTTTTGAATACATTTCGACGGTGGCGAGGTGTGCGTGCTGCATACTTTTGGGCTGTCGGCGCCTTGGGCTTACCCGGCGAATACGCAATATTTGCTCACAAGCGGTGTTAACAATGTTGGCCTGGAATTAAATGTCGGCAAGTTTTAATAAAAGCCACCACACGTGTCTCCTTATCCCAACGAATTCGTTCTGCTTTTTGCGGCGGTTTTGTCAGAAAAGTAAATAAAGTAATATAAATTTCTACAGAACTTTGAATTCCCAGGGGTTACACATATTTCTCTCAAGATTTTATTGTAGATTAAGACTGTATTCACAGTTAATAAATAAATATAAATTTAATAGTAATGATAATAAATAATATATCTTTGTAATTGAAGTAATGTTAACACTGTCCTGTTTTTCAGTAGCATTTTTGCAATATTTACTCGCAAAAATCAACAATGTTTGCCTGAAATATAATTGCACTCTCGTTTGCTGAAAGCCGCAACACTTGTTTTCTGAACACAATAAATTCATTCTGCTTTTCTGCGGCTTTTTTGTCACGAAAGTAAATAACACTGTAACTTGATTAAATTGCGTATTTCTGCTCCTTGAGCCATTTAATACCCACACAAAATATTAAATTGCCATTTCGGCGAGCTGCTGCTTTGATATTTATTAAATTTAACATCTAAGATCTAAGAGGCATCATCAGCAGCCGCCATTCCATGGACCGAAAGTCATTTGCTGAAATTCGAGCTCATTCTCTTTTTTTTTTTGTGGCAAATACATTTGGAAATTTGTCGTATTACCTTGCAGCATTGACATTTGGCTGCTGGCTGCTGGCTGCTGGGGAGGGGTCATCGATTTTCGATTGCGCTATCGATACAAATCTAGTCCTCGTAAGTAGTCACTTTGGCGGCCTTTTCACTGGCGGAAAGTGGAGAGTGCCACTCACAGGAAATTGAGCTCAATTGGGGTTTTTTGTTACGTGCCGTTGCCTTTTTCGTTTTTTTTTTTTTTATTGTTTCTCTTAGGACTGTCCAGAAAAGGGTCCTGTTCGCAGGACCCAGGACCTGTCTCCTGCTGTCTGCTGATTTATGTGGCGAGTGCTTGTTAACACTTCACGGCCATGAGTCTGACAACTGCAGGCGGTGCTTTCCCTGAAAGCTGAAGCTAAAAACTTCTCAAGGACATCGCCGCAGCTCATGCCGATTTGAGATGTTTCATAAACGTCGCATTAGTGTCACGAAAACGGCTAATAGAAAAAAGTGCTCGTAAAACTGCAGACTTTAGGGCAGGCGACGCTACTATAAATTTTACGCTCGCTGGCTGCAGGAATTTCGCTGCAGTCGTCAGCTTTTTTTTTCTCAATTTTTTCGTTTTCGGGGAAGGACGAAGAACGAAGCTATTTGAATACAAAAATCCGCTTACTAGAAAGGCAAAGCGAACCGAGAACACATATCCCCGGCCACATCCGAGGCGGAAGGCGTGGCCCTCTGTGCTCGGTGTGTGTTTGAGTTTTTTCCTTTTTTTTTTGGGCTGGCTCATAAAGTGGCGTCCCAGCATGTAGTTTGTAGTGCAGAGAAGAGGGCGTAAAATCATCATTTATCAGCAGGCACCCAGGAGCTTCAGCTACACAAAGAAAAAAATTATGGAGAAAATAAGGAAACAATTTCTTAAATTATTAGAAATAACCTTACTACATTTTAAACATTACTTGTAGGCTATTTAATTCGTAGTAAAGTAATTTAAAATAATTATCATGTATTTAATAATGGTATTAGTTTTTCCCAGAAATTTTCTTCAAGTACTCGGAGCAGATTCTGCTACTGGCGCCATCAGATCCGCATCACTTTGTCATTGTCATACCCTTTTTCGAGTGCCTTCCTACGGTTGTGCTTCCTGGAATCTCGGCTGCTTAGGATCCTCGCCTCAAAGCCTTTCGCCCAGTTCCTTGTTTATGCCTGGCAAAAAAAAAACAAGTGAAAAAAGAATAGTAATGGTGGAAAATGTGCAGATATTTGCATACAGCGTAGCGAACAATTCGTGGGCTTCCGCCGCAGATGTTTGTTAGTTGTGTTTGCCTTTTGATATGCACGCCATGTTGGCGTCGCTTTTGCTTCTCTCCCTCCCCGCTCGCTCCAGCTAGGGCTTCAGTTTCAGCTTCCGTTTCCGGGCATTTTGCACGTTTGCCCAACTTGTCACTCGCAATGAGCGCAGAGTGCACACCCGATGTTTTTTCGGAGCCGGCAGTCTGTTAAATTGTGCATTGAGTTTGACATTCAGCTGCCAGCAGCTGCTGCAGCTACGCTTTTGTTGGATTTCAATTCAATTTCCAATGTTTAAGAGTAAAAAGTTTTGAAACCCGTAACGTGGCGCATTTTAGAGTAGCTTTTACCTGGAGGTTAAAGCAAACAATGGTATAGAAAGCCAGCTACAGAAATCCTTTCCATCAATGCAATCTGATAAATAGCTAATTACTTGTATTCAAAACTCAACCTCCACAGAATATATCAAATTTAAATATATGTTTTGTCCAGAAAATCAAATTTGTGCTGTTAAAGTTATTGTTCTTACCTCTCAAAAACTCATCAAATAAAATTCTTCAAATTAAAGATACATTTATACGTTTTGCCTTTTATTTGATGCCTTAATTTTTCCGCACGTTTTTCAAGAAAACAGTTTTCAAATGCAGTTTTTGCAGTTTTGTAAGCTTCACTCGGAAAGTGTTTTGTAGTTTTTATTCGTATGTTATTCTCAATTACTTGCGTTTTGTTTTTAATTATAATATTTGATGTTTGTTTTTGTAATGAACTTTAGTTCGGTTTGCATATAATTAGCTGCGCTTAGTTTTGTCATGCTCGTTTGCCGTTTTTGTTTGTTTGTTTTTCATTTGCGTTTTCAATTTCCATTCTCGATTTCAATTTCATTTCATGTGTGGGCGATGGTTGTGTGCGGTTGCTGGATTTGTGTGTGTTCGGGGTGTGTGTGGTGAGTGTGGGTTATGTAAATAGTTTGATAGTTTATCTCTCGCCTGGGTCGGCGGAGGAGCTCAGTTTTTCCATCGATTGTTGGTTTGTTTGTTTGTTTGTTTGTTGCGAATATCATAGTGCACTTCGCGGAGTGCTACATACATATACAATAAAAACATGCACACTTAGTTGACTATATCTATATGTATAGGTATGTGTGTATTACGTTTGATGCAGCTTCGATCTAAACATAAAAGTAATGCTTAATGTTTGGTATCACAGAGAGGCGTGACTTTTCATACAAAATACAACGAAAGACTAATGCAGAAAGTTACAAAATACAATTTAGTTCATCTCACTTGAGCTTGAGCCGCACAGTGTACACATACATATATAGTATACGCTACGTTTCCTATATCTTTATATATAATATATATATATCATTATAGACAGGGCCGCAGGCCCTTTTGAGGGTCCTGGCTGGCTATTTACAGTGGATAGCTTCTTGCACGAACATAAGTATATCTAGGTTAATCAGTAGGCTTAATGGTCTGCTCTTCGCAGCTTGTAAATTTAATATTTGGCTCAGTTTGAGTATCGCAAATCAACTAACTACGCTGGCAAATTTTCCTTTTCTTTTCTTTGTTTGGGGCAAATGGGAAATGGTGGTTTTCCTCTTCGGGGCTATCAATATAGATTCGATAACGATTGTGTCTCATATCCGGTGCTGATTGTTTTCGAAACATAAAAGGAACCGTAGAAACCTGTCACAGTTACAACCGTGTGTGTGTTTTTGGATTGTGAGTGTTTTACGTGTGTGTGTGGTGTGTGTGTGGTGTACACCACTCTGATTGCTTAGTTCTACATTTAAAATTACAACAACAAGTTACATTTAGAGGAGTCGTCTACATGTCGCACTTATTGCGAATGCCAGGGATGTGGTGTGCACATATTCAGAGATACGCACTACTAACGCTACTACATACAAATATCCATGTGTGTGTTCTGAAGAGGGTTCTTAATTGAGGGGGTGGGGTTGGAGGTAGTCCTTGGATCGCTCTGGGTGTATTGGCCTGGGCAATATGGGTCTTAAACACTTTCGCCACCTTTCTATCTCACTTTGGTATGCATCTTGGGCTCTCTAACACATTGAGGCTTTTCCAATTTACATAAATGAATTGCCAATATGGACAATCACTGATCCAATTTTCAATGCGGATGGAAGTGTCAAAGTGGGCTTTTGAAGATCGGACAGCTTGGCCTTTCTACAACGTAAATAAATAATATAAATTCTGCCCACTAAGCACCTGACCATTTTACGTCTAAGCTTTCCCAGGACTACCTTCAACCCCATCAGGACTAAACAGCTTATCTGGCATTAGCTTTAGGTCTTCTCCCCTCAATGTAAGCTTATGTGAGTGTTCCTAATAAGGATACTGCCTAACCGAATCGTATGGAAGAAGCCTATCCTATCCTGGCACACCTCAGATTCGCTTCGCTATTGCCACTGCTAACCGGTGGACTTGCCTATAGGAAGCTCTCCCTGGCTCCATGCCTCTCATCGCCCAGCATCACCCGCTGGGAGGGCGGCTCTCCATACTGATCCTGGTAGTAGTTCTCTCGCATCATCGTGTTGAGGCTGGAGCAGCGGAAGTAGAGGATCTCCTGGAAGGGCTTGCGAAAGTCCCGATTGAGGGTGGCATAGATGATGGGATTTAGCAGGGAGTTGGCATAGCCCAGCCAAAGGAAGAGGGAGGAGAGCGAGGCAGGGACATGCATCGTCTCAAAAGGACGAATGAGGGCGAGGATGAAAAAGGGCAACCAGCAGACGGTGAAGGCGGACATGATAATGCCTAGGGTGGTGGAGGCCTTCTTCTCCTTGGCTAATTGGAAGCGCAGCTTCTTGTGGTGCGGCGATCCCAGGAGTCCAGTGGAACCGCTCACCCCGCCGCCGCTGCCATGATGACCGCCACTTACGCCGCCGCCGCCCAGGGCTCCACCGCCGCCGCTGCTCAATCCGCCGCAGGTGGAGTACGTCAGCGATGTGTTGCCCACACTGCTGTGCCGCTGGCCATTGCCGCCCAGTTCCGTGTGGCCCAAGGGCGGAGCCTGCGGGGCTGAGGGCGAGCCGGTGCCGTTGAGGGCCTGCTGCAGATGCGTCTGGGCACGCTTCTCCTCCAGCACAATCCGTCGCGCCGCCCTGAAGATCTGGTAGTAGACGAAGAGCATCACCGACAGCGGTATGTAGAAGGAGCCCAGCGTGGCGTAGATCTGATATGCGAAATTCTGGCACACCGTGCAAATGGGCTGGCCATCCTCGTCCTCGTGCTCGTTGCCCAGGATCAGGAGCGGCGGCAATGAGATGCAGGCGGCGGCCAGCCAAACGACGCCCACGCACAGCATCATCCGGCGCGGTGTTCGCTTGACTCCATACTCCAGAGGCTTGGTTATGGCCAGGTAACGATCCACCGATATGGCGCAAAGATTCAGGATCGAGGCGGTGCAGCAGAGCACGTCGAAGGATACCCAGATGTCGCAGAGCAGCGGTCCAAAGTTCCACTTCTCCAGCACCTCGTACAGCAGGGCCATAGGCATGACCAACAGGGCCACACACAAATCGGAGAGCGCCAGGGAGACAAGCAGGTAGTTGCAGGGTCTCCTCAGCTTGCGGACCATGCAGACGGCTATGCAGACGAGGACATTTCCGACCACAGTGCCTAGGATGACGATCAGCAGGACGATGCTCACGAAAATGGACTGCAGCGGGGGCAGCACAAACTCTCCAGCGGCGAATTCCTCCAGGAGCAGGGGAGTGTCTGAGAGGGGCACCAGCGTCGTGTTGCTGTCACCCAAATTAGTGCTGGTGATTCCCTGATACGAGACTATGGCAATGGGACTGCTGTTCATGGGCGACAGAGAGCCCAGCTCCGAACCCGAACCCGAGCCGGAGGCCGAGGCTATGGCTCCCAGGAAGGCGGTGCTACTATTAAAGTCCTGCGACAGCGAGGGCGACGGCTCCGTCTCGCTTTCCAGGAGCGGAGCAGCCACGGTGGCCTTGGCCGCTCCATAGGCTATCCAGCTGCTCAGGAAGAGGACGAACAGAGTCAGCGTGGCGGTGGAGATCAGTTTCTGGTGGATCACTGGGTGAGTGTGACTCTGGTGGTGGTGGTGGTGGTGATGCTGGTGGTGGTGGCTCTGGTGGCGTTGCCAGTCCAGGCCAGGCGAAGCCATGAAGCAGGTCTTTCAAAAGCTAAAGCGGGCCGACGCGGCGTATGAGCAACCCCAGCCCATTGCGTTCATTGCGACCCTCAGCATCATTGCGTATACGCCACCGTGTCGGTGCCGCGATTTACTGCGCCGAACTCATCATTAATCATAATTTCAATAAAAATAAGTCGTCTTATTAGTTTCGCCTGCGGTCGGCTGCCCCGTGGTCGTCGTCGCCGCCTGATTACTAATTTATGTGGGGGCGTTTGCTTAATAAAAACGGTGCTTGCGGCCGCCAGTTGATGTGGTCATTGACTTTTATGCCTTGTACTTGGGTATCTCTTTCAATAAATCTCTGTGGGCTGCTGGATTGTATTTACTGCGGTTCTGATTGTCGCCTAGAGAGACGGGAAGAGAGAGAAAAATGCGAAAAATTCATTACTCAGCTGTATTTATAAAGTGCAAATGGCAGTGCCTTAAAGTCTGAATTTAAATTCCCATAAAAGCTGTGTCCTGCGGGCACGATATCTTCGTCTTCCTTTCAACGTTTTCTGCAGCACACAAAGAACTTACCACACGCACATGTCGCCCTAATGATGGTCACAGTTGTTACAATTTCCAAGGAAAATTTTTAAACAATGAAACAATGCGCCACAAAAAAGAAGGAAAATAAGAGAGCGAATAAAAACAGAGAAAAGGGAAGGGACAGAGGGAAAGCGAAGCAACCGCGAAGCGAACGTTTTCATGACCCGACGGCCATAGGCAGCAAAGAATTTTCCCCCATTTTCCCACAGCCACCGCAGACGTGAATGTGAATCATCTGTGGAAAAGACGCGGGCGGGAATGACCGCAGACCTTTTGTATTAATTTTCATACTTCTTTTGATTATTGAATTGTTCGCTCTTCGAAATGCGAAACAAATAAACAAAAGCCAGCTAAAAGGCGATGGCGCCTTCGCCATTGTTGCTTCCATTCTCGTTGCCAGCTTCCGTTTCGCATTTTTATTTATTTCGCCTTTGGCCTGGGCTTCTTTTCTCTTTCTGCGGTCATTTTTAGAAGAGGAATTTTGGGGAACCGCGAGCTGAAACACAATTTATACAGCCCCCTCTAATTGAATTCTATTGCCACTGCCTTTGCGTTCGACGAACTTGGCTTTAAAAAAAGCATTGGCGTCCTAATGTGAGTGTACGATTTATGGAATGCAGCCAAGTGGCAATTGAGCCAGGATATTTGGGGCGGAGGAGAGGCGTCTAGACGGCCAGACGATGCCACACCTGTGTGGCAGGTGTGAAACCATCGCGACACTCAAAAATCGAGTGAAATGCGAAACAAAAGGCAGCACTCACATTAAGCAGCAGCCGCCCCAGCCTCATTAAAAAACTATTCTTCAAGGCGATGAACTCGGGCAGAAAAAGGTGAGAAAACAAATGGAGAAATAATTATGGTTTCCTGTTTAGACTAGCCAAGAAACAAACTCAAATATGATTATCTGAAATATTTCTAGGAATTTAAGCAGAAAGTGAAATATAATTTAATAGGAAACCATTTCTTTAAGGATATGGCTACTTAATAAATGGGTTTTTATTCGGAATTCATGCATAAACATTTCTAATCAATATTGCCAAATGTTTATATACTTTAAACATACAAGCTACAGGATTTTTAAAGTATTAACATGAAAATTCGGCCTGTATAACTTTATTTAAGACTCCCCTAATAAAACTTCCTTCCAAAACTAGTCATGACATTTCTATAGGACAAACTTTGCAAACAAAACATAAATTCCAAACATAAACACCAAAATTCAGCAAACCAATCGACTGAGTACCTTAATAAATGGCATTGTCAAAACATTATTCCGTTGGGTGTTTTCAATTTTGGAAAATTCATCCGTGATGGAAAATTGGCTGGCAATTCGAAATTCGTATGCGCACGAGTTCATTTCTGGGCTTAGTGATTGCGACTGTGACTGTTTGTGCGAATGCACTCGAATTCGTGTTATTTGTTTTTGGCAGGCGCCTCTGCGCCCGAGCGACTTTCGGTGTTAATTATGCTAATCAATGGGGGACAACAAGATGGCCCCAATTATTTGGTCAGCAAACAGAGAATCGTAAGCCGCTTTAAGCTCCGGTGCAAAAGCCGGCAGTCCGGACAACAGGCTGCGACGACTCCTGTCCGGATGAATTCTCCTGGCAACAGGACATAAATAATGTAATTTAATTATGAATCGTTCGGGGCGCGATGGCCCCGATTTGGCAGCTAAGGCTTACGGAAAGGAAGCCCCTCTTATTTGTATTATTGCCAAAGCCGACAGGGGCGTAAATATTCATAGGTTTTAATATTTATGTCCTTCGTCCTGCATGAGCAACTTTCCCTTACTCTGGGCCGGCTTTTTCCTGATTGCCTTCCTCCCCGCCCCGCCCCGCCCCCTTTGGCCCTAATATCTGACATTCCCGCCACGAAAGCGCACAACTTTTCAAATATTTGGCAGTTTCTCTGGCTTCTGCGGCAGCGTCTTGAGGTTTGCCGCAGTCTCACGACTCTGCTGACAGGGCTTGTTGGGTAGCTCTGGAACCGAATTTGTTGGATGCCGGATTGGCATGGGATGCCTTGCTAAACAAGAGTAATTTTAGTTGGCCAACTGCTCGCTCGCTCTTCCCATAGTTTGCTGGGAATAGAAAATAGTTTACTGCGGAGATTTCAATTTAGATTTATGCCACCCCTTCTGCCTTATTAACTGCGATGCTGGATATTCGCTGGCTGGCCCTACTTCAGTTAACACAAAATATATTTTATGGCCGCAAATCCTTAAGTTTTCGCGAAATAAACGCAGTCAGGGAAAAAGATAAAAGCAAAGTTGGCGTTGAGCGCATAAAAGTGCTTTTAAAACCAGTCAGCGTAAACTTAATTTTTGCAGATATCGCGAGCAATTGTTTCAAGCAGCGAGCTCACTCGAGAGTCTGCCCCACAGCAGCCACGCTTTTTCGAGAAGAATGCAATGCTGTTGATGGTTGCAGTTTATGGTCGGATGCCCTGCCCCTGCCCCCTCTTACCGCACTGCAGTCCCTCTTTTTATATGGCTTTGGCTTGGCGCCGGCACTTTGGCGCATTAAGCTCTTTTCGCTCGTTTTTTACCAGAACGGACAGACAGCGTTTTTAAAGCTGGCAAGATTTGCGGCTGAGCGGTAAAAGTCACGAAACAAGTGACTCACCGTGAAATTGAGACAGTCAGAAATGGAAGAGCTTAATAAATAAAATACGAAAAAATAAAAGGAGAACTGTGAGCAGGAAGATTTAAATATGAAGAGCACACGAAGCGCATGATTTTAAGTATGTATAATAAGATATGTAATAACTCTGCTTTCCCACTCAGGAAATTATACAAATTCTTCTTTAATTTAAACCAAAAGCAAGCCAAGTTTGCTTTAATATACAACACATATGTGACAAACTGTTCATGTTGCTTATTTAAGGGGCAGCTGTGGAGATTAAAATCTGTGCGGCCCATGAGGCGTATGCGTAATGCGCTGCTCACACGGCGTATGGGTAATTTCATATGCTCGCCAGCGCATTTCAATTACAAAGTCATAAAATTTGATTTCTCATCCAGGCTCCACATTCAATTTATGCTTCACATCCAGCTTATTTATGACGGACGAGTACCCATCCTTCGTCTGCCTTATCCTTGGAGCATTTCGCCATTTGCCAAGTGCCCGATGTAATTTCAACCTGACACATCACACGAGGGACTCGCACACGTCTCGAGAGCACACACGAAATTGCTGTAAATGGATGCAAGTTAAAAAGCCAGCAATTTTAAATTGCTGCTGTCGACATTGGCGCCCATTTTTTCGGGGCTCAACCAGCTGAAGAGGCAAAGCGAGAGAGGGTCTAAATCCCGGCACTGAGGGGTTGCTGCTTCTTGCGCACTTGATGTTTATGTGTCAAAGCTGCTGTCGGTTTACATTGCCATACAGTTTTTGTTTTTTTCTTTTTTTACTCGCACAGCGTTGGCATGGTTGTAAATAATGAATGCGTTGATTTCGAATCATATATTTATGCCAGAGCGAGCTTACACCGAACAACAAAATGTGGGAAGCAATCAGTGGGAATGAAACATAAGGCTTATATAAATGTTAATTGTACAAGAACATATGTGTTGATATGACTTCTTTTTAATATAAAATATTAACTTAGCTTAAATATCAACTTAACTACTGATAAATTCTCCTAGCAAAACGTCTTAACAAACTCCCAATAAAACATTTTCCCTGTGCAAAGGCCGGAATCACTTGCGGCTGTGAATTCCTAGAACTGTCTGATTTATTTCCATTTGAGAGAGGAAAGCCGTCAGTGTCATGGGAGGCAATCATTTCCAAATGTAATATCAAATATCGTTTATGGCAACCCACTTTGCTTCCCCGAAGTCAAGGTCAGAGACAGCAGGCAGCAGAAAATCATAAAAGTGAGCAGCAGCTCATTGTTTGCCATTAATTTTGTTCGAGAGTGTTGGAACAACAGTTCGTGTAAAATGCCTGGCATATGTAGGCATTTTCGGGATGTGTGTAAGTATGTTTTTGTTTATTTGTGTGCATAATAAAATTTGTGCACAAAACATGTGAAAACATTTGCTTATCTTCAGGAATTCCCATACCATTTGCATTTAAAGTTCACGTGGGCGTATGAGTGATATGATTTGCATATATGGGAGCGGCAAGGCACTCACACAAGTCCGATTTATTTTCGGCTGTGCGTGTGTGATGTAATAAAGCATTGAATTTTACATAAATTGCGGGCACGGCTCCTCTCTTCCTTCCGCTTCCTGTGGAAAAACACACGGAATACGCTTTGCTCTGGCCATTTGCAAAAAGGCATTTGCATATTTCGTTTCGTTGTTGCGCCTTATAGTCTTTTGTTATTTTCATTTGATTATTTATGGTGTTCCACCGTATGAGGGCAAAACATCGATGATTTCCAGCCAAAAAGGAATTTATGTTCCTTACATAAATGCCCGTTTTGTCAAGGCAAACATTTGTTGTTGCCGTTTTATAGCTCATTCTGTTGTTGTCGTCGGTTGCTTCTTGCCTTTTTTTCTCATAATTTATTGGTTTTAAAATTATTTCTCTGGCGCGCTGTGACATCATCATAAAAAAAGAAAATACCATTTCGCATTTATTCACGGAAATATTTTGCAGTTAAAGTGTCCCTTTTGTCCTTGTGCATTGTCCTGCTGCTGGCACAGTGGGCGTTTCGTCTCTGCTTTCACAGCCGCTAATTGTTGGCATATTCCCAACTAGTGGGCTTTGTGGGAAACACGACCTACTAGTCCGGGGCTTTTCAATCAGTGTAACATAATGACTCACCAACAGAAGGCCAATTGCAATTGATTTGACAGAGATAGATAGAGATAGAGAGAGAGAGAGCAAAGAGAAGCCATTTAATCTCTAGTTTCGATTCAAAGGCCATCTGATGCCGATGCCAAAGCTTTAATCTAATGCAATCTAATCCTGTCGGGGATAGTATGCAGCTGCATCACAACAAAGTGCATGGCTGGCCCCAGCAATTTTCCACTCAATATACTTGTACTGACTTTTATGAGAATGCCTTGGCCATCGTGGAATTCCTTGGCCATGATCCTGCGCTCAGCGTCCTGCAAGTGAGTCATAAAATCTTGTTATATGGCTGCCGGAATACTTTGTCTCTTAGCTGCCACTAATTGAATTGTTTTCCAAGGGCCGAGAGTGGACTACAGAATGCATTCGCTGCCTTGCAGTAATGTCCAAATTGAATTCCACCAAAGAAATGTAAAATGTTATGATCCTCAGAAGATATAATATTAGCAGATTATTTTATATTTTAAAATAAGAATATATTTCCTAAGACTCTCCGTAGAAATTTAATGTCTTCCTAAGCTTAACTGTTATTAAATTTTTACTAATCTTACTGCTCCCTTATTAACGATTATACTTGCACCATGTTGAAGAACTCACCTAGCTCCAGATTCCCTCCTTAGTGGCTCAGACCTCTTGAGACGTCTTCAACGCGATGCTGCAATGAATGAGATAAGCGATGAGGTGTGTGCATGTAATTAAAGGACCTTAACGCATAATGGGAGCTAAGCTTGTACAGGAGTAGGTGTTGGTGTTGGTGTTATTGCTGTGGCGTGTTTACCTTTGTGTATGTAGGTGGACGTCAGGTGCTCCATCAAAGCCTGACGTTAGACTGAATTTCGCTATAGAATTTACCCAACTTGGCACCCACCATCACCCCTTTTAGCCACGCGAGATTACGATTTATATGTAAATATAATAAGCCGCTGTCTGCTGCCTTGCGTATCTACACAGACAACAAATTGAAGTTGAATAGCTCAAAATATAGCTTCCCAAGCATTATTTTTGCTTCTCCATATCGATTTAAGGAAGAAATCCTGTTTAATTTTCCTCGAAAGCTATTCTCGCAGTGCTCCTGTATGCGTGTGTCTGCTTGAGACGGCATCAATCATACGCCATGTTGTGCTGCGCTGAACTGTGGCTAAACAGGCGGAAACGCTAAAACGCTCACTCGCACAAATACAAACACACACACACACACGTTGCCAGCGAGCTTGCAAAATTGAAAATTTATCGTCCGAAACACTGACAGAAACCCACTGGCACCCGCTCAAACCCACACACACACACTGGGATACGCAACCACAACATGAACAGCGCGCTAACAAGAAATTGTCAGCAGCAAATTTAGCAACAGCAGCAACATCGCAGCATAGCAGCAAACATCGCACTAGCAACAGCAACAGCAACATCAGCAACCTGCCACGCCATGAACCTTCAACTAAGTTGAGCTGTTGCATGCGCTTCATCAACGTCATGCTTAGCCGCATTTGAGACATTGTAGGCATTGCATTCGAACAGAGTGCACCAGAGTGTGTGGCAAAAATCGCTGGGACAAAGGGTGATATATAGTGGGGGGTTGATTGGGTGCTGCAGTGCATAGCCACATAAAAATTCCAGACATGCGACTGGGAGATGATGGCAGCTCGTATCACTCCATTCGCCGTGACTTTGTTTGCTCTGCTTCTGCATTTAGATGAGAGCACTCACATACACACAGTGCGTAAAATGTGGCAAAATAAAAGCATAGTTGCCATTTGACTGAATTCAAATTAATAGCAGATGAAATTTTTAGAATTGTTGTTTGCTGTTAGTTTATTTATTTGCAAACATTTTAGCTTTTTGACTAGCTTTCCATTGGGGTTAGTTTTAAGAAATTTGCTTAAAACTTTCTCAGTATATATGCACACTTAAACGTTTTTAATTTATTAAAATTAAAAATTTAATATAGGATTATGACATCGAGCCAAAAATGGATCATTAATAAGCCAAAAAAGTGATAAAAATTTGTTTCTGCCAATCATGTGCTCAATCATTGATGTTCTTGAGCATGTCCCTCTGTGAATATATAGGATTTCGCTCGATAAAGGCTACTTCAATGCTTTTCAAACTACTGACTAAAATTCTAATACTCTGCCAGTTTATACAAATGCAATTAAAAATAATATATATTTTTCTCTCTGCTGGTCAGTTGACGGTTGAATTTATTTGGCCCGATTTCTAAATGACATTCACAAAATCTCTCACTTCATCTAAGGGAACTAAGCTCGCCTCCTGGGAATCCAGTCACATTGTGCATTCCAAATTCGTTTAAATGGCTAATTTATGAATGCCACTGCATTTAAAATCCAATTATGGTTTTGCCAGCGGTAGAGGTAACAAGAAAATATAAATTACATGTCCGTAATGAAAGAATTTCCAAGGACCCAGTAGCCCGCAAAAACGGAACTAACAATGCATTTGCATGGGGCATTAAGTCGGAAGAGAAAAAATGCAGCCGAGCTAGGAAAAACCAGAGAAAACCTGGAGGAAACTCGGAAAAAAACTATTTGGAGAGATGTGTGTGTGTGTTTTTCTGACACTGGCTAAAGATAATCAACTTCAGTCATCAGGCGAAATGCGGCGTGGCGGTAACAGCTCGACAGTTTTTAATTGAGTTTACGCTCCGTGTGCCGCGTTATGAGTGTGGGTTGCATTCATGTGAATGCACAGCAAGAAATTACTAGGATTTTATTGATATTTATAAGAAGTAAAAATAAAAATTAGGTGTACATTTGTTAGAGGAAAGATTTTGTTAAGAAAAAGTAAGCAAAAGTTCTTGATATCCAATAAAAGTATTTATTTTTCTTATTTCTATTAGACTAGCCAGGGTTTCTAATAGTTCCTATATTTTTTCAGTGCACTTTTGAAAGAGAGAATTATTTGCACTCAGCTGGAATTGACTCGCTTTGCGGTTCTTGCACTTGCACTGGCACTCGCCGCCTCTCAAGCACTCGCATATAGTACACTATTCGCCACGCTCGAGTTGCTGAACTGCTGTTGTGGCTGCTGCCAAGATTTTTAATTAAGTTAATGAAGTGCATCGTGTGTGGTTTTTCGGTCACATTTTGTGACACTGCCAATGGAGTCGGATTTCCTGCGCTTATCCTTCTCCTTATTAATAAGGACATTAGTGGAAAGCTTGCCCTCTCAACACATTGTGTTTATTTATAGTTGGCCACATGGAAAAGCAATAAAGGCTCTTTCTGGCTGCATTACCAGGATAAATGTGCACAGATCTTGACAGAAAATGGGAGAGATGGGTGAAAAATGAAGCTCACTTCCGCCGACTGCCGACTGCTGGCGAAAGTAAACATTAAATATTTATGACGCTGCACAAAAAAATGCAATCAAAAACGTGAGAAAAGTTTCTATTGCATATTTATGTGCGCAGCGAGCGGAAAGCGCATCACAGAGTCTAAAAAAAACTGTAAAATTGTTGCAGAAAATTCTGAGCTGGTTTTGTAATGCTCTTACGTTGAATCACAGCAAGGTGAATTGATTCCCTGAGCTTGGAAGGGATTTGAGAGGGAATGCCAGCTACTTTTGATGACTAAAAATGTGTAAAAAGTCCGAAAAATAATTCCATTCAAGTCATTAAATTTACATTTTCCTCTCCATTCGAGTAAATATATTTCATAATAAGTCAATGATCTTTTTACTACACTTTCCCAGGGACATTCACCATTTATTTTCCCTCTTAAACTTAGAGAAAATCTCTTTCAAACTGTTTTTTAAATATTTTTTTGCATTCTTAAAAGCGAGTGCAATCAATTCAATACAAGAACATAATTACCAACGCCATAATAAAGCTTAGAGTCTCCCTTTCAAATGCAGGGCACAATAGAGCCAAGCTCGGTATGAAATGTAATGAATATAAAAGTGTTGCCAGGCCCTGAAGGTCCGGGGGAGGAGGGGGGCGAACTTGAGAGAACGCTGCACCAAAATGGTTTTCAATTTAGTTAATTTATGGTGCGCTTTGTTGGCACTGAAATCGCACTGGCACACAATGGGCATATTTATAGCCGTTTTATTTTCCCATTTCAATGCAATTACCCCAGCCCACTGTTACACAGACCAAAATATATGCTTATAAATGCTATATTTTTGAATGTATACAATTCTATATACACAGTATCGTAAGTGCATGAAACGGCAGAAAAAGTGCCTAAGCTCGTATTCGATTTCGTAGCCCCTGGAAAATACTGGATTTGCGCCGCAGTCCATTGTGCCGGGGCACCAGCTGTCCGAAAAAGAGAGAAAGCGGTACTTATCCAATTTGGAGGAGCCACAATGCCCAAGGATGGCACACACACAGCCCGTAAATTCCGGAGCCAGAGTTTGGAGCCATTAGAACACATGTCCCGACTGCTGGTTGCCCTCGGCCTTCACTCTTCTTCATTCTTCGAGCCTGTTAAGTGCAAAGTTTTAACGCTGGTTAGCAGCTGCTAATTAGCATAAAGTTGGCTCAACTCTCGCGCCATTCACTCCCGCACACATTCACTGGGAGAAATTTTGTTAAAGAATAGAGGAGAAAAATCCAGGAAAAACTGGATAAAATTAGCTTGCATTTTTTTATAGATCTACTTGAAATCGGGTTGAATAAACCGGCATTTTTATTAATTGAACAAAAATCTCAGCACTGATTTCATGCGTCAGAAAAATCATTTAAGGTCAAGAAGATAAACTCAAGAGCAAAAAGAATACAAACATTTTGTTACCCATTTTAATTAAACTTAAAAGCCTTTCAAGAATTTACTCTTAGGTAATAAAATAAGCTCTGAAACTTTTATAATTAAATCCCTATTAAATATTAACCTTAAGAAGAAAATGTGCATAGCAGAACCTGAAATATTATTCAGTGTAAAAGCACAAAACACCGGCGGGGGTAAGAGGAACACGACGAAGTGGATAAGAGCGGGTCCATTCATTCCGCTTTTTGACAGCGTCACTTGCCTTAGTCTGTCGTGACGCTGCAGCATCTCACTCGCATCATCCAGCTCATCCTGCTCGCCCTGCACATCCTCCGGCTCCTTTTCGCTTTCGTCCTTTCAGTCCGAGGCCATTCCTCATTTTCCCCGGGTGGCGCCGGCTTTCGCTGTCGTCTTTTGTTTAGCTTGAAGCACGTCGCGCTCATCTCTTTGATAAATATTAGTTTAATTCTTTTTGCAGGCTGCCGCTGCCGCCGCCGCCAAGCAGCTGAAACTGCGCCTGGAACAGGAGGTTCAAGGATTCAAGGCTGCCGCCATTTCAGGCTCTTTAGTGGCCCGTTTCCTTATTTAATACAATTACTTGGTTCTCTTTTTCCCGCGCACTTGTGTCCTTTGTTTGGCATTTCATTTCGTTCGCCTGGCTAAGTGAAAAATGTAAATATTTGCCTTTGATTGGAATACGAGAATCGAAAACTACAGATGGCCGGAAAGAGAATAGTAACTCGATCGGCCTTGAGTGGCAGCAATTGTCCGAAGAATATCCGAATTCCAGCAGATTAATTGATGGAAAATCACAGTGGCGGTGTGAAGAGTAAGTACCATATTATTGAGAGAAGAAAACAGTCAGAGATTCGACAATTTAAATTGATCTATCAACTATCTACAATTTAAAGTAAAATCTATGGTA